CCATAAAAAAGTAAACAAAAAAAGGACTTTATACCTAAAAAGAATCTGTATTTCATTTCTTGTTTTTGCACTTGAATCATCCTGAATTAATCGTGTTTTCAAGGTTAACAATCCATTTATTAATAATTTAGTTTGGCTAAATAATGTGTAGCTATTATAAAGTGTTACCAGTTAAATTGTCATAATGGGCCAGCCAAAATATGCTGGGACAATACCTAGCAAAGACAAATTATTCTAGAACATATATACAGTATAAGTGAACAAACATCTCCAAAAATAATTTATCATAAGTCGTACACTTATTAAACTAAAACTGAAGCTCTRATGGGATTTTGTTGCAGATTTGTTTAAACTGGCATAGCTATGGCTAATAAAGGATTTATAAAGCTATTTTTTTTTCAGACTGCCTCTGTCCTTGAAGAAGTGAATAAGCTAAAAGATGAGAACTTCCTCATTGTACACGGGACTGCGGACGGTATGCGTTTTWGCGTTTTTGTTATTTTAGAGTTAACGTTTGAAATCATTTTGTGTAAACTCTTCTGTCTGTTGTGTTTTGTCACCCAAAGCCAGGGTCCACTTCCAGCACAGCGCAGAGCTCCTGAGCCGACTGGTGAAGGCGGAGGCCAACTACTCGCTGCAGCTGTACCCGGACGCGGGCCACGACCTCAGAGACCCCCACAGCATCCAACACTTCCAGCGGACTGTGGCGAACTACCTCCAGACCTGCCTGAAGCACAGCGTCCTCCYAGAGCTCCCAGAAGACGAGGAGGAGGAAGACGACTGAGCCTCCTTTCTCTTCTCATGAAAGGACTCTCAGAGAGGAYCTGTGTCACGCATCACCTTGGGTCAGGCTATCAGGCACAAGAGCAGAGGAGAGTGGGGACCAAAACCATGACATCACCTCCTGYAACTTCTGGGGGAAATGGATGTGCTGCTGTATAAAGTGTCGCGCACAATTATTTATGCTGTTTTGTTGTATGTCAGAGGCCTAGTTCGTTTACAAAATTCACCTCGGAAGACGTGGACTGGACAGCCACTGGTTCGGCAAAAAGGTTTACAAAGATTTGAGAACATGCATGTCGTCATGGCTGCATGATGCTTGCATTTTGAGCATTTTCCAGGTTTTGAGTTTCACCCACAAACAAGGGCGTTCTCTGCCAACAGCCGGGAACACTGCTTGCAGACTTTGAAAATATTTATTGATTCTGTTGAATGAAAAACGCWCATCAACACGTGTACTGACTGCAATAATGCCTGAGGTTTTCCAAACAGATTKTTAAATAAACCAGCCACACGTGAGCCCCTTCAGAATGAGGTCAGATTTACATTAAATGTTTGGCACAGCTCTGAGGCATAAAGTGTTAATTTCACACTTAAAGGTTACTGTTTCTATTTGTCAGGGGGTCTCCTCATTCCTGCATGAAGTCTGTACAAAAAAAAATAAGGTATTTTAATATTTTCCCAAATTGTTCCTGGCTTCCAAAAACTTGAATGAAATATAAAGCCCATTCTAAACGTGCCAAATACTGTACATTTAGTGGATTTTATCCACTGGGTTTGTTTGCAGTGTATAATTATTAACAATGAATATGCAACTGGGATGCAACAGAAACTATTTATACCACTCTCCAATTCACAAGTGATTGCAAGAACTTGTAGGTGTYCTGTGTACTGTATTTGGAAGTAATATTTGTTTTGATACATTGTGACATTTTAAGCATTTATTGTGTAATGTAGGATTAAATCATTTCTTTGGACAAACTGTTCAAGCATTATGTTATAGTCCAGCYAGACTATCAGATGTGCATGCAGTTGGTTTAAAAAGAATGACACTGACTTCAGGCAACCAGCTACTCCCCCCGACCCCAAACAGTCCTTGAAAATAAAAGATAGAAGTTTTGGTTTTGCAAAAAGAAGTATTTATTTTTTACAGCAACCTAATGGGACATGTTGGATCTTGAGTACAGGAAAATACTATTAATCCAGTCTAYAAGGCCTTTTCTCTACAAAGGCACTATGGTGGTAGTCACCTTTAGGAATGCTGATTCTGTAGGYTTTCTGTTTAGTTCTGTTTTTCCTGTATATTTTATGCAATTTAACTCCTTCATACCTTTATTACTATTTTTTATTGTTTCATAT